AGGTGATTTATTTTTCCCTCAGAGGGTCTTGAATCAGTGGAACTTTCTTCCTGAAATGCTATTGGAAGCAGATTCACTTGAGTTTTTTAAAGGCAGAGATAGACAGATTACTGTTAAAGGTTATCAGAGATAGGGCAGGAATGTGGGATTGAGGTCACAATCAGATCAGCCATGATCTTACTGAATGACAGATCAGCCTTGAGAGTCTGAATGACTTACTCGTGCTCCTGATTTGTATGTTCACAAAATTTTACCTCAACTTGTTGATGAGGTTGGATATCTTGGTTGACTCTCTGTGGTTCCTGTACTGACACTTCAAATATTTTCCCATCCTTAGACAAAAGGATTGTTGATGACTCAGCATTGTTTGCATTCCTCGTACTGATAATTACACTTTGGAAGATGAAGAACTGAAATGCTACTCTCAAACTTGTGTCCTCTAATCCTTTGGCATCAAATTCAAATCTGCTGCAACAATTTGTTCTGCAGACTGTTTTGCTTTCTGAATGACTTCTGTTAAAGATTGCTTAATGAGCTTAAATGGGTTGTACTGCTTATTCCTGTTGCCAGTATTTGCTGCTGCTCACAAATTTGGCTGAGTTCCTGTGTTTAGATTGTTCTTCAATGAGAAGGAGAATGGAAAACATTGGCATCACTCGTTTACTTGCAGATGTCCATCCTGTTGACAGGATGAAACAATTAGTTTTTTTTAACCAACATAGAATCTATTCAGATTACGTTCCTTTTGTTTAGTTTCTACTAGATAAATTTAGGAAGCCCATAAGGTGTTCCACCATAATGATAAAAGTACTGCAGATGCTGGAAATCTGAAACTCAGCAGGTTGGGCAGCGTCTGTGGAGAGAGAAACAGAGTTAATATTTCAAGCCCGGTATGTTCCGTTCTGAAGAAAAGTCATTTGGACTCAAAATGTTAACTTTGTTTTTCTCCCTACCAAATCATCTACCAGTTGCTCCTTGATTGTTTGAATGACAGGAGTTTGTGCCTTGACCAATTCTTCATTGATTGCCTTTTAAGTAGACTTGGTATACCTTTGTTCCTCTTGAGTTCTTCGCTATCTCTTGGAAATCTTTGAACACTTTCTGGGAATATGAGTTCAAATCCCACTGTGAAAGCTGGTTTGAATCTAATAAAGACCTGGAATTAAGAAGCTAGCCCAATGGTGACCACAGTTGATTGTTTAAAAAAAAACCATCAAGTTCACTAAAGCCAATAAGGGAAAGAAATCTGCCCGGTTTGGCCTACAAATACCGAGTGCAATTCTGGTCTCCCTGCTATTGGAAGGATGTTGTGAAACCCGAAAGGGTTCAGAAAAGATTTACAAGGATGTTGCCAGGGTTGGAAGATTTGAGCTACAGGGAGAAGTGAATAGGCTGGGGCTATTTTCCTTGGGGTGTCAGAGGCTGAGGGGTAACCTTTATAGAGGTTTATAAAATCATGAGGGGCATGGATAGGGTAAATAGACAAGGTCTTTTCCCCAGGGTGGGGGAGTCCAAAATTGGAGCGCATAGGTTTAAGCCGAGAAGGGAAAGATATAAAAGAGACCTAAGGGGCAACTTTTTCACACAGAGGGTGGCGTGTGTATGGAATGAGCTGCCAGAAGAATGATGGAGGCTGATACAAATACAACATTTAAAAGACATCTTGATGGGTATGTGAATAGGAAGATTTTAGAGGGATATGGGCCAAATGTTGCCAAATAGGGCTAGATTTATTTCGGATATCTGGTTGGCACGGATGAATTGTACTGAAGGGTCTGTTTCTGTGCTGTACATCTGTTTGTCTCTATGTGACTCTAGATCCAACAGCAATTGGCCGAGTCTTAATTGTCCTCCGGGCAATTAGGGATGGGCAAAAAATGTTGGCCTCCCCAGTGATGCCCACATCCTGTGAACAAGTAGAAATGTTAAAAATTCCCTGGACGTCGAACACTTGTGTTAAATCTTGCACTTCTAAAAATATTTTTATTTTCAGATTAAATTTTTTATCAAAAACCTGAAGAAATGTTTTCTCCAAGAAGTCCAATCCTGCATTTGCTTTGGCCCATCTCCGATACTAAATCTTGCAGATGGTTCTATTTCCCTGCACATCTTCTTAATATGATTATTTATTCTACCTACTTGAAAATTATTAAATTCTGCAGTATCTCAGTCCTGCGGAAATCTCTTATCCTTGAGACTTATACTTCTATATCTGGTAATGCTGCTTTACTTTCCTTGTCTTAAAGTTATTAAAATGAGCAGAATAGTATTACTGTATTACTTTCCTTTTAATTTTTAAAAAATAATTCCTTTATAATTCTGTGAATTCATAATGCTGTTTATCTGGATTGCTTATGGGGCTTTTCATGTTTTCACGTTTCAACATGGAGGTCTCCCATAAAAGCCAACTGGAGGTTATTTCACTTTTTCACTGACAAAATGGATGGCCTTCACATCCTTTCATGGCACATTAAACATTGTCCATTCTTTGTCATAACTGTTCAGATAAAGTCTGCCTCCTCAATAAATTCTTCCTGCTTGAGCTAGATTTCCTGCTCTTGTCATGATCTCAAAGGTTTTCTAGTGTCTTGCTGTGTTAGAATCCATCTGCTTTAACTTTTAAATTGTGCCTTTGTTTCACCTTCATTCTGCTTTGTAGCATTCCCAGTGTTGTGACCCCAGGATAAAGTATTTCTAATGACCCCTGACTTCCATACTGGGGTTGTGGCTCATGGTGTCCACTTTGGTGGCTATACTCATTGTGAATTATAAGTATTCCCTGTTTTCACTTCTCAGCCTATTTTCTTTTAGCACAATTAATTTGAACATTTCCCCCTTTCCAATAGGGATTTTTAACCATTTTCACAGAGGTCAGATATGTTTACTTGCTAGCCAAGCCTCAAATGCTCCTACTGATCCTTGTTTCTCAATGGAATCTGTAACTGGCCGACGTGAGCAATCTTTAAGCTCTTTCTAATCCACACTGCTTCTGCTGTGTTTTTAAACCATGTCTGAAGTAAAGACTTTCGCCTGGAGTGCTGTTTCTCCCTTGTTGATCTTTCCACAAGTTCCTGCTGACTGAATTTTTGTTCAGGCAGTTGCAACTGCTGATTGTGTGATTAAAATAGGAAAGGAAAAGCAAAATAATTAGTTAGCTCACTGCTCCACATACTGGTAAAATCTTTAAAGCTGTAAACTCACTTGGACATCGAGAAATTTCTTCTCATGGATCCTATGGATATTTTCACTGTTGTGTACTTTGTGGTAGGAAGCAATGATGCTCACTGCTGATTGCCATGTGGGTATAAGCATGGTACGTCTTTTTTTGACTGGACCTAAGGGCCTAATTGGTTTACAATAGTACAGGATCAATCATTCAAGTCTTAAAAAGAAAAGGCTTGTCTTAACAAGACGTAGTTTACTGCACAATAACAATCAGGTGCAAGTTACATTAGTTGCTTTGGCATTTTTACTAAGACTGTGAGAAGACATGGGCCTGCACTCCATGGGATACTAAGATGTCCTTCCTTAATCTCATCCAAGCATGTATGACATTTTTAGATTGGGTGGAGCTTAATGCAATATCCACTATTAACTAGTTCATAACCAACATTTTAAACAGTTATCGAAGAAGGGTCTAGGCCCGAAACGTCAGCTTTCCTGCTCCTCTGATGCTGCTTGGCCTGCTGTGTTCATCCAGCTCTACACCTTGTTATCTCTCTTTTAAACAGTTATTACTATTTTGAAAACCAGGATCAGCTGGTCTTTTTATTTAACTAGCTCTGAAAATAAACCATCATTAGCCTTGAAAAGCACAAAAAAATGTGAAAGCACCAGCTGTCATTTCGTGGGTCCTCATGGGTTGTTATACAAAATTCAAGAGATGATTCACATTGTGATTTCTAATGAGGATACTTCAAATCCTCTTTTTATCGATCATATTAAGGAAGGTGCTGAATATATTTTAGTTACTGCAACCACAACTAGGTGCACAACAAAACTGGAAACGGGGGAAAAGTAGTGATGATACAGGAATATTTTGAAATTATATTCAATTTCTCCACACACTGTGACAGCCATTGTTTCAAGCCTCTGGACTTGCCAGAAAGTAATACAGACAGTATCCGTTCCAGACCAGAAATGAGGGACTTCATGTGAAACCTAGATTGGCATTTCTTGAGGTCCTTGTCTGAAGACGTCAGCAGTGTCTGAGCACTGTTGTTTTCAGGATGATATAGCATTGAGTTACTTAGAACCATATCATACGTGTAATTCTGTTTTGTGTAATTTTTGGTGCAAAATTTTGTATGTAACAGCCAAAGACCTTGTGCCAAACTGCAACTTTTTTGGTAGAATAGTCATTGTTACTTGTTTATTTTCAGTGGAGAGTGATCTTTTGCCAAAGAAGAGCTGAAGGAGTTGAATAAACTGTAACATAAGCACTCAGTAATGTGATTGTCATTTTAGACTTGTGTGAATTGTATGTCATACATGTCAGGAATTCCCCTACTCCTAGAACAGTTTTAATCTTTGACACCTCATTTAGCCGTTTAATATTAGATATAATTAAACATTTTCTGTTGCATAAAGTATTTCATTTGAGAGAATATTTCTCATTTAGCAGGACAGAAAGATTTTACTATGCATCATACTTGTGTTTTTGACCTATAAGTATTCAGTAGCAGAAAAATGTTACATGTTTAACACATTGGATGTTCATCTCCTGACATTATCAATTGTCAATATCCAACTATTGTTAATCATGTATTCTTCAAAACAAGAGACCAAGTTAAATACAGGGGATATTTTTATAACAACTTTATTAAAATACATGTAACAGTCCATAAGACATATTCAGGCACTTTAAAATCACACTACACACAACAATTCAAAAGGATTGGGGACGCCTCAGTTTATGGGTGGTTCCCTTTATACAACACACTGTTAGTACAGAAAATTGTTAAGTAGACATTTACTTATAAAATGTGACCTACTATTCTTATGTATAAGCTTTCTTGAGAGGAACATAATATATTTACTGACTGAAGCAGACTCCTCTTCTATTGTACTTTTATCATCAGCACTTCCAACTATTCGATTCTGTAGTTGTCAATGGGGCAGAGCTTATGTTGGGTAATACAATCTAGAATAAAGGAAAGGAAAAAAAAGAAATAATTAGCTGGTTTCCTGCTCCACAGATAAGACAAATCCAATGGTTGTATAAATTATACTTACTTAGTACCTGAAAACTCAAGACATCCTTGTTGTTAAATAACCTCTTTCAGATTCTCAGGGCATTTCAATGTGCTTTGCAACTAATAAAGTACTCGCTGTAACTCCTGTATTATAGGTAATACAGCAATCAACTTTGTTCACAGGAGAATCACAAAATGAGCATGTAATATTGAAATAAATGACCAGATCATTTATTTGAAGTGTTAGTTCAGGAGTCAGTGTTGGTAAGATCAAGAAATTCTCTGCTTTTGTTTGATTATAGTACAAGATCTTCTATGTTTGCTTCAGACTTGACCTTGGTCTAAAAGATCTTCTAAAAGATCATCTGAAAGATCCAG